GGGGGGGGGGGGGGGGGGGGGGGGGGGGGGGGGGGGGGGGGGGGTCGCCAATCGAGGCAACCCTGCACGTTTGATGATGACGAATGGAGATCACGGGCCCGTTACGTCGTTGCCGATGTATTTCTACTCATTTTCTTCCCTTCAGAATTAATAGATGCCGGTAGTCTTCATACGGCTTATGGTGCGGACTTAGTTGTTCGTGTGCCCACGTTTAGGTGTTACTAGGAGTGGGAAGGACGCCGGAAAACGATTTTCAACCACGTCAGGTGGTGTGGCTCCGGCCTCCTTTGCGCTCGTGGTTTGCTGATGGCAGATGACACTACATGACCTCGGCGCGCGATGGTGCACAAACGGCAACCGTCTGCGTTTCGTCCCGATGCCCTCTTCGATGGGAGTCGTCAATTGAGCAGAGGATTTGTGTTGCATGTGTACAGGGCTATTTTCTCACGCTGGCGGGAATAAAATTGGATCCCGAAGATGAACGCTCATCCCCTTGCTTCGTAAGTGGCCCAACAGGACGCCTCCTTGGGGTTTAGTTTGGTTTGTGTCTCCGGAAATGTGTGAGGGTGTATTTATACTTTTTGGGCGAGCAGCTGCAGGGTTTCCTTTCTACTTGGGGGCTTTTGCCCTAACCTGGTTTCCTCTTGTCTGGAATCTATACTCAACTCGCTGTAATGCAAAATACACCTGTATTTTTCGCGAGTCTAACCTCGATGTAGTGCGTATGAACCTGTACCTTGCGCGAGTAGTTGGGCTCCCGCGGATGGTCACATCTTGATGTTAACATACCTCTTGGGGTTACTCGTGACCATGCCACGGGGGCGGGCTGGCCTCTTGCCGGTCAGTATCAGGTTTTAGTCGGAATGGTTTGTCAGTTACAGACAAGAAGAGTAGGAGGCCGCGGCTTTTCCCGTCTGGACAGACTAATATATGACAGCAGCAGTCGTTTGTTGTCCGCCTAGGTACTGATTGATTGAGCAGCGAGGGCTCGTTGTTGGATGTTTTGTGTTGTCGCGTCCATGTAGGTTTATAAACGCAGGAATGGCCTGCTCCATATTTAGCACGATGTCCGTCGCCAAGCACTGTGGTCTTGTGTTGGGATTGAGGATTATGTGGTAGAGAACGCACCAGCGTCTTCGATGTTGAGTGTAATGTTGACTTGTTCAGGCCTTGTTCAGGCCTAGCACAAGCGGTGTTGTGGGAACCGGATATGACGCAGTATGTGGTACGTGAAAACGTACGTTTGTAAAAACGTACCTTGTGTCATGGGACGGGTTCCTGCAGAACGTAGGTGTGGCCCAGGGGACACTACGGCGGTAGTGCACCAGAATTTTGTGTGTCGGGGATGTTTTCGAGCCAATAATCCACCCAGATGGGCGTTGGGTTTCACTCGGCAAGAACAGCGCAGGTCGCCTTGTTTTTTTAGCAGTGCATGCAAAAGTACGAAAACACTTGTCGAACAAAATGTCATTATTTGTCTGGTCTGTGTAGGTGTGTCACGTCGCTGGCCGGCCGCTCAAGCAGGCGGTCCATGCAGCAGCGCTGCAACAGACAGGATAGAGAACAACCGATGCCTATGTCTTGAGATGTTCCCGACGGTATGCCTAGCGCCCCCCTTCCAACTGTACGCTACAGCAGCCGTGTTTTGCCAAGACATGTGTACCATGGAATGTGAGCAGCCATAATGCCACCGCGGCTCAACACAATCGTCATGTCGTGCAACATCCCCCTTTGCTTGTATTGTATGAACCACACGCCTCATCTGTTTGTGTACACGGCATGTCATGGGGCCGTAAAAATAGAAAAATTCTCACACCATGTCACTTTACGTCCTCTTGAATACAGGAGACGCCAGCATTGAGGAAAGTCCCACTGCTGTACTGCCGTCTTATGAAGACCGGTCCGGTTGGAGGAAGAAAAATTCGCACATTTGTGGCGGTGGGTTGGTAGACCTTTCGACATGGATTTGATGGCCACAGCGGCATCGGCACAAAGCATGCCAGGAAGCGACAGGCAGTTGCCGTTTTACTCGAGGTTTAACAATGAAGGGTGCGCAGGCAGTGATGTGTTGAGTCAGGATTTGAGGTGCTTGCCGGGTACCGAACAGGCCTGCTTTGGTTTTTGTTTTCCACCAACGGCAATGGTAGGAGTGGTGTTGCAACGCATGGCAGAGTGTGGAGCGCGAGCGGTTGTGGTCGTGCCAGACCAACAGAAAACCTGGTATCCGATGCTGAAAGACGCCACAGTACGGTCTTACACGAGTTCAGGTCAGAATTCTACAGTCGGGCCCTTCAACATTGAGGAGGCCGCTCTGGCCAAGAGATACAGAGAATTCAAGAAGGAAACGGCAGATACCGCGGCGATGAGGAGCAGATGCGCGACAATGCTTACATACACGCAGTTTCTTTAGTCGCGAAGAACAGGGCATGTGGTGTCTCTGACGGAATCTCAGCCGAGAGATATAGTTGACTATCTTTGCTGGTTGGATGCCTGCGGCAAGAGGAGGCGTACGGTTGTGCACGCAAGGGAATGTCAAGCGGTCGGCACCTCAAGCTTAGACGCCTGTTCAACCGAGCAGGGGGCGTGTACCAAGAGGTATGCTCACGATTTTCTGAGAACGAACCACGTGTCAAAATTGGCGGTGGCTTTGGAGAAGGAGTTGGAATGCACGCACGATTGGGACAGTCAACGACGAACAGGAAACCCAGCGAGAAGCGAGTTGGTGACACAGTACATACGGTTTACAACGAAGCAGCAAGAGCAAGCAGGGGTACTCGTTAAACAGGCGCCAGCGATCTTGCGCAGCCATTTGCATCAGACACTGGTTCCTTTGAGGGCCGAGCTCGATTTTACAACATCAGCGGAGAAGAGGGTGACCTTGGCCCGAGATATTGCTTTCTTCACAGTAGCGTTTAGTACGACGAAGAGCGGAGACGAGTTGGTAAACACGCTCACACAACGTATACTGCGGCTACCCAACAAGAGCGGATTCATGTTCGATTTCCAATCGGGGAAGACGCAGCGAGATGGGGCGGATCACGTGTTATCAGTGGAATACGATTCGGAGTGTCTGCCTCTGTGCCCTGTTAGACAAGTGCGGTCGGTAGAGCGCTATAATAGACGTGGGAGAAAGTGTAGGCTGAAATATGAGTACAGACTGCTTGTTCTCGGGCATTTCGGCGAGTAAGACGGGAAAGAAGCCGAAAAGGGAGCCGAGGCCAGTGACGGCGTCATGCATGACAGCAACGTTGAAGAATTGCGCGAAAGGAGTCGGTTTGTAGCAGGAGTTTTCGATGCATTCGTTCAGGGCAGGGGGAGCCATTTCGAGGGCCCTGGCCGGAGAATCCTTTCGACAATAATAATGCGGAGAGCGTATTGGAAAAACCCGAAGACGGCGTGGAGGTACATGAGGCTCATGGAGGTGGTAGCTCCAGGAGCGGGAAGCGAAGGCATGGTAGAAGGGATCACGGAGGACCAGTACCGGGAGTTGAACGAGTTTCCATTGAGCGAACAAAGTCGTTCATGGGCTGCGTTCGGGAGCAAGCCGTTACTCTAAGAAAAGAAAAGACAACGAAGACTAATTATATTCAAGTAGATCTATGGGATAAAACATTGAACACCTTCAACTTGGCATCTGAAGGATGTGGAGTTAGTTTTGGAGAGGGTTACTTCACCAGCCGCGGGAGGTGAAGCCGCTTTCTTATCCGACACTATAGGGGAAAGAATAAATGGTCACAGAGATACTGCTGTATTATGAAGACCGGTCCGGGAAATGTTCCGAACATTTTCCAGGAATGTTCGCACACGAAAGCACACGTACGTATCGCAGGGGTGCCTCTCATTCCCACTTCTTTGGGCAACCAAGCACCGACACGGCAAACAGGAGGAAAGAGAGAGTACGTTTAAAACACCACCCACCCACCCTCACAAGTGGTAGTAGTACACTACAAGGTAACGTTTTTTTTCCAATAACTCAGTCGCGATCAGAGAGTGTCGATGAGTGTTGCAGAGACACAGGAAAACACTCATCGACAGTCACGACGGGTGGCTTCACCAACCTAGCGGGAGGTGAAGCCGCTGTCTTATCTCACACTATGGGGGAAGAATAAACGGTCACAGACATACTGCTGTATTTTGTGTTTGTGGTACTTGGATATGAGTCCGATCTGTGCATCCTCTGTGAGGGATACGCGTATGGGAACAATGGGTGTGATGGGCAGTATGCGGTTGAGGACCAAGTGCAGGGCCTCCGGGTGAGCACACGGCGGTGTGCTCCCGGCACTTGCCTGAGGCGCTTGCGTGTTGGTGACCAGCTTGCCTGAGGGACTTGCGTGACGGATATATATTATAGATGGTCCTTTTCATCTGCTATTCCTGGGATATAACATTGCACCCAGTCCCAACACCACAGACCGCTGAGGGCGGCAGTGCATACTAACATTTTGTTTACTTTCACCCCCGTCTTTGATCAGTGGGGAAACCAAGGAGATGCGGGTTGGGGTAAGGCTCCGTAGAAAGATAGTGTGTTGTTTGTTGTTGTTTCTCACATTAGCTCTAAAAAAGAAAGATTGGGAGCCCGTGGTCTCACAACCCGGCATACACGACCCCACGAAGAAACAGAAAAAAATAGGGTAGTACAAAAACCACTCGGAAGAGAAACAAAATGATAGAAAGAAAGACCAGCTACCGCACCAAACGAGAAAGAGCGTCGAGGAGACCGATCAAAATAAAATAAAAGGAGAACGGGGAACGCTTCCCACACCCGCCTACAACGCCGGAGGGTTCCGTGCCGGG